CTAAGTTCAGCATCTTATCTGAAATAAGTATTTTCTGTCACTTTCTCCCCCCTTCTTCAGGCTATGGGTGTCCAAGACACAAGGTCTGCTTGTGAAGCTCGAATAACTCTAATCAAAAGCTTTGTCTGGGTGAAATATGAATTCATGAACAGCACAGTGCAACTCAAGATTTGTGGCTGAGGTTGCATAGATAGCCCAAGTCAGTGCATATGACACAATTAAGTGCAGGCATGGCAGGGCTGGTATATCATCTCATGGAATGTATGTGAATTTGAAAACCATTGCTTTTCCATTATCCTAATTTCCCCTTTGTGTAACTTCACTTTGTTTAATTCTTTTATGTATAGTCATGTATGCCTTTTTGTATGTACATTGTTTTCCTTTGTATTCCTGGCTCCTTTGTAGACAGTTCATTCCCTTCTCAATCTTGCTGGCAAGTATGTGAGTTAGGGGCATTTTTCAACTGTTGGGTGCCAGTGCAGTGAGTTCTTACCACATCACCTCTTCCTAATGCTTGGTCTGCTGCCTTTGGTTCCAGACATGAGAATTGCTTGCTAGGGAGATCTTCCCTCCTTTCCCTAAAACTCCTTGTTTGTGGAAAGTAAGGGCTTATTCACATCAGTAGTGACAGACACATTCAATTTCCTCTGCTCACTCTACCATGTTTTCTGAATTCTGGGATGGTACAGTAGTTTTAGTAGGATTTCTTTTGCTTTTTGGTTGTTTTTTTGGTTGTTTGGTTTAGGTTTTTGTTCGGTTTTGTTTGTTTTGATTTTTTAATAGCAAAAAGATGCACCTGGCCTTTAAAATGGATGTTCTGTCTTTGAAACTGTATCCTCTAATTGTGTCATGAACCCTGAAGGCTCCTTCCCCTCCTGTTCTGCTACTTCTTCCACTATAAATGCCAGTATACCTAATTTTTTGCTACCATCTTGGGAGTCTTTCTTCATGTGACCTGTTCTGCTGTCCATAGAGGGGAAGAAGTGCTGTGTCTCTGTGGGATTGTATTTCAGCTGGTAAGCACTGGCTAGGACTTGTGTGTGAGCATGAGAGCAGTTTGCTGTTACTAGGGGACTCAACATGGTGTGACCTGAGCCCAGCCTACTCATGAGGTCGGGTCCCTGAGCATCTCTGTTGCTCTGTGTGCACATGGTCTAGCAAAGCAGGCCTGTATTCCCTTTCATGTGTCATAGGCTGGGAGTCATGCAGGTGAGACAGGTCACTTTGCCCTAGAAAGCTGCCCCTGTTGGTCATTAAATGACCTGGACCACCAGCTGTTATTTTCAGCCAAAAAATCTTGACATATATGTAAATTTCTAAAACTTGACCTACATGCTCAAATAATTTCAGGAGCCAAACAGCTTAAACACTTCACTTTTACTACCTCCTTTATTTTGATTACTTAATAAACAGAACAATTGCTGTGAACAAGCAAGCCTATGATAACACAAAATAGTTTTGTCATCACTATTTTTTCAGTAACAGTGCCAGTTGTACCATGGCGGTGGTCATCCAGATTAATACTCAACTAAAAAAAATCAGCTTTCGTCAGGCATTTGAGTTTATTTAAGATTGTTTGCTGTTTCTGCCTGTTGAAATGAAAAGAATGAAAATGGTTCATATGTACAAAGTGAAGTAGAAGGTTTTGAATAAATAGATTTTGTAAGTTTTTACTTAATTTCCCTCTTTTCACTCAGTATTGGTATGCTCCTTTTTCTGATCTGCCTATAGGACCCCGGCGACTACAAGATTTTCCGGGCTGCTGAAGCTGTGCAGCCTCAGTGGCACATCTGGCCGTGCTCAGGGGCCAGCCTGTCTGATGGTCACAGGGTGTACAGCTGGAGAGGAGCCGACACATAACGTCTCTGGCCACTTGTACAGGCTTAATGTGTGTGAGCTGCCAGTGCCCTGGGTGCATTTGAATTTTGGGCCCCCTCTTCAAGTGCCGTGTCAGTTCAGGAATTTGCGGTTACTCTGGCATTTGGCCTGTTAGCACATGTGGTATGTGAGTTGAACAGTTCTGTTCAGTCCTCTCCATTTTTTTCTTTGCTTCTAATTAAACTAGCCTTGGGCTCTCAGGTCTGAAGGGGTAGTCCATCTGTAAACCTGCTTCCTTGTTTTTTGGTTAATAAAATAAACTTGTGTCTTGTTCTCTTGGGATTAGGGATTGGTTGTCCAAACTTTTTCCTCTTCTAATTGCAAATCATTTTTACATCTTTCAAAACAAAAAATCCTGGTGTTGCAATGGAGTTTTTTATATCTGATGTTATAACTAAAGGGAAAACCACTTTAAAAAAAAGTTGCATTAAAGATTTAGGTGCAACAGCTGAGACTTAGCATGTGTTGAGCCTTGCTAGGTGCACTTGCTGAGAACATCTTCTGGTTTAGTTTCATCAGAGAGGGATATAACTTTGGTGCTCAGAGACTGCTTGGTGATCGGACAGCCAAGGGTTTTGGGAGGTTCACTTCAAAAGTCCATTCTTTATTCATACTAAAAGGCCAATAGGGACATACCACGTAAGACATTTAAGAAATTCACATGACTTATGTAATAATTTAAACTGTTTATGATGTAATTTCTGTACTAGTGGCCAAAGATGTGCCCTCTGTGATATAAAGATTTGCTTCATCAGTGCAGGTTGTGGTTCTTGATTATCAAATGGCAATTCCAAGAGGGAGTGCAGGGACAGAGACAAAGCTTTCTGTAAGTCAGGAAAGATAAACTTAGGGATACTCACTGCATGCCAGCCAAGTAAGTCTTCTTGATGCTGATGTGTACATTAAATCAAACATTATTATTATTATTGAAATCTTTTTATAGAAATGGCTAAACCAGATTACCTTTTTGTCAAGAAGAAACACTGAGAAAGATGTGTTTTGAAGGGAGAAAATTACTGTTACTTTTCCAGAAATGCTATTCAAAGGATGTCTGGGGTGCGAGACATATCTCTGAGTGTAAAAGTAAACTGTTTCTATATCCCTTGAGTAAAAAAAATCTACTAATTTTACCTTCTTTTTCCACTTCCTGTGATGGTTCTAAGCTGGTCTCTGGAATTTTCTGTGATTGCTCTCAATGCTATGTTCTTTGGTCCTGGTGCATACTGTGATAAGGATTGCCACCACTCCTGCTTCCAGGGAGTTGGCTCTTGTTGGAAGTAATGAAAATAAAGAGTTTACCCACATTATGTGTGGATTTGATACCTTAATTTATTTGCTCAAGAAACTTTCTTTGCTTTTTACCATCTTTCAGTGAGAGAGTACCTAGTCTTATTATGGCCTTGTGTTTTCAAGTGGGTTTTTTCCTCCTCAGCATGTGAGTTTTAAGCGCACAGGGAGAGGGAGTGAATGTGTGTTTTGAAGAGTTATTTCCTTTCAGTGGGAAGGAGAATGCAGTTGTGGTCAAGGTAGTTTAGAACTGATCTCTGAGAGAATTGGAAAACGGATGAATTTGACTCTGCCCTGCTTGATATTCTGCATGTTGACTTTTCACTCTGCAGAATTTTTATAAAAATAGTCTCTTTCTGAGTAGGCAGCATCTTCATCTGCTTTGCACAGGCTTGAGGAATGCACAAGGCATAAAGGCAGCAAGAACTTGGGTGATAATTGTAGAAATGCCACAGTAGTGCTGTAGCACAACTGAAGAAATCAGGAAACACCACTGATTATTCGTGAACATTTTTCACTTATGGGTTTTGTATAGCAACAATAGTTGATCATAGGAAGCATCTCAATGAAAGACTGTCCTAAAGCAATATCCTGAGGCAATACGATACAGCAGTATTGTCTCCTGTCCTACTAAGTGAGCAGCAAACAAGGATGAAACCCTTGTTTGTGGTGTAGAAAGAGGAAATAAGAGCAGACCATGTTTTATAAGTCTCTGGGGAGCTTGTGGAAAGATTCTAGTTATATTTTATAGCACCGTGCATGTTGTCTTGCTGCCCTTAGAGATATGAATTGGTGGTGTGCTGTGGGATTTATTTTCTTACCCTACACTTAGAGGCTTTCCCTCCAGGGTGTCTGTATATGTTGTTGACTGACAATTTGTTAATTTTTACTTTGCTTCCTATGTTCCCTTAAGGCCAGCATGCCAGACTGAATTCTTCAGTGTAGTCTTTGTGCTCACTTTTGGGCAAATCCTATCTGTCACCAGAGAAGATTAGAGAGAACTTAGATGTTGTTAGAAGAAATGGAGCCTGTGTTTTAGGAGCTGATCATATTGTACAGTGGTTCTTGCTATTTGCACAGTGATTAAGGAATCAGATTTCAGGTAACTTCATAATAGTGAGAAATCTGTAGGTGATGTTTCTTCAATCCCAATGTCTCTTTGGCTTTTGCCAAACTTTTTGCTTTGAACTGCTTAACTCTGTTTTTTTGGGTTTTTTTTACAGTAGACAGGGCTTCATGTGACATCTGAAACCTCTGGGTAATTTCATACACCTGGCATACTTGTTTTCTTACGAAGTCAGTAAAATGCTGATGAGACTTACAAGCACTTTCTCTACCTCCTCCTGGTTTTGACTACTCCTGTTCAGGAATACATTCATGTAATTGTGAAGAGTTTCATCCATTTAGTGTACAGTAACATAAACAGTGTCCCGTAACTTTGGTAGAAACAGGTGGGTAAAATCCTTGTTGACAGACTCTGTTATCCAGAAGGATGCTGTAAGGATAAGGGCCTTATTGAAATCTTAGCTTCCTCACCAATAGCTTTTCAAGGCAAACTTTTATCAAGGTAGTATTCAAAAGTTTTTTTCTTTTTTTCTGGCCTAGCCACTCCCCTACCATTACTCAGTCACACATTTTATTGGTGGCTAGATGGCCACCCATGTTGTGGTTTACTCTGATCTTCTTTGGGTACCTTGAGCACCCACTGGTTAGGTTTGCTAATATTCTGGAGTTAGTAAGATTTAAAGGAGCAGTTTTATTCTGCCTTTGCATTACGGTTCATGTATATAAAGATATTGAGTGCATAAAACAGCCAAATCTTGGGTTTCTTGTACTGATCTTTAAGGAGTTACAGCTGTGCTTGCTCTTGGTTGAGCACTGGGAACTTCAGCAGTTTTCTGTGATTTCCTGTTTCTCCCTAATCAGCTCCGGCTTTCTTCAGTGCTGCCAACCCCTTCTGAGTCTGTATGAGTTGCTGTGCCTGTGAAAACCCTGTTAGCAAGTTCAGAACCCTCTGCAATGGTTGTAATGTCTTGATCCATCACTTGCAAGTTTGTTTTAATATTCTTACAATATTCAGTTTTCTTGATTACACTGACAACTGTCTCACTAGTATGTGGTGACTAATTGCAGAGGATTGAAGGAAAACCTAAAACCAAAAAGATAGTGATTACAGAGAGGGATCTAAGTAATACAGTGCCAGTGAATTATTTTCAAAATGTTTGTATTTATTTTCAGCTGCTGATAAGATCTGAGAAGTATGTGGACTGTTATTTTGTTTCTCTGCAATTCTCCATGTTTTTTCGGTATAAGTGCAGCTCTTAGGACTTTATCTGGAGTGTTCATATCTAGAGCACATGAGCACGTGTCTCTGGGCAACTGGAAAACATTAAATACTACCAGAATGGCTGTACCAGAACGGTATAAAATTGGTGTTGGTGGTGTCCTAGCCTAATATTCTTTTTCATTAAAAAGAAAAGAGTAAACCGCATTCATTTCAAGTTACACTCAACAAGCAACTCACTTTTTTTATTTTGGTCCAGGCAATGCTGGAACAACTTGTACAAGGTCTACTGTATAGATTCACCTGCATATCAAATTTTATTATTTTCATGTCTTATAATTGGTTTTCCAGTTTGTATTTACCACTGAATATAGTTTCTACTTTCTGTATTACTCAAGATACTTATTCTGTCTATTTAGGATTGTTCTTAATTGATGATGTTACTAAAATTTGTCTACAGATTACAGAACCATTTCAATTTGAATATATCGAAGATGAAATATGTTGTATCTGGTCTAAAGCATCTGAAGTATTCTTTTCAAGGTTCACTGCTCATTTCCAAAAGTGGTCACAAGTTTATATAGGGACTCTGGCTGGATTTGTGTGCTTCAAAATCTATCTCATGTGTACAACATAATGATTTATTTTGATATGTAACTTTTTACTTACGTCATGCAAAACAGGTAACCAAATATAGGTGCCAATTTTAAAATATATTTAATGTGCAACTCAACCATTAATATCCACAGTCTCTCTGCTCAACTCCCGACACATGCAGAGGATTTGGAAATGCCAGTTCCTCATTTTGTTTTGCTTTATTTGCTTAAACATGTGATTAAATTTGTATGGTTTACTCCAACATATTATGATTTCTCTTTATAAGAATGCCTGCACTGTTTTTCAGGGGATAGGGGGCCTCTTGTTTCTGCTGTTTCTTCCACTTCCCACCGTCTTGCTTGTGGCTTGCCCATATGGTAGGGTATTTCTGTTGTTATTTCATGAAATGTTGTCTTCACTTAGGATGGCCTCACCCTGCTGTGTTAGCGTTATTATGATGTATGTCAGACACTTATGTATGATTAGCTAGACCTATTTGTATGATGAAACCCTTTATTTATGGCACATAAATTTTTAGGAAGTCAGAACCAATTATTCCACAGTTGTTGTTTATAATTTTTTTCTAGATGTAGCCTAATGTCGATGGCCAAGAGTAATAATGGGCTCTTCTCTGTAGAAGCAGTCTTGTGCCTTGCAAGTGTAACCATTTCAATTGTTTAAATCCTTTTCTTCAGATTTCTTTTCCCCCTCAAATCTAATCAGTCACCTGTGCATCTCTTATTGTGTCCATCTTGTTGCATCAAATACTAATTCTTTGGTCTTGCCTGCAGGCTAGGGCTAAATGGTGAAAATCCTTCTCCTTTGGGTTTATTAAGTGAGGGGTGCCAACTCCTGTCTCTGCTCTGCCAGTGATGCCAGCTTTGATTACTTGCCTGTTGTCCTCTCCTTCAGGCATCTTATACTTTCTCTCATTTTGTTTCTATATTTAGGTGGGTGGTACAAACCTAAATCTGTAACTTTGTTCTCTTCCAATATTCCTTTTTAAATCTGGCCTTTGATATTTATAGATTGTTCCCATTAGCTGGGTAGGTGACTAGTGTTTGTGACTTCTGCTGAATTGTTTCACCTTACCTTGATTTCCTGGTCAGTGTTCAGAGTACTTCTGCCTTGGCTGTCTAATATGAATACTGCAAATACTCTGGGAAACAGAGAGAGGCTGTCTTTTATATGCTTCTTTTCATTTTTACTATTATTAAGTAGGATTAAGCTTTGACTGCAATTGATGGCTTTTTAATCTATTGTGATTGCAACAGAAGAACATTTATTCTAAGATTAAGAAACAGAATATAACCAGTTATTTCTGACTTATTTATATTTGGATTTCTTCTCCTTAGTTTGCTGGTGGCTGTGAAGCACAAAAAAAATGCCTCAACAAAAGATATTAAAACTGTATACTGTTTAGCTCTGGAAAATCAAGACTGATTCTAGATGTTTTTGCACCAGACAACAAACGATACTTTTGTGAGACAAGGGAGAATAATGATATGAATCAACTAAAACCAGGGATTCTGAAGTTCCATTCATCGCTCTGCCTTGTGTCCCTGTGGGATCTTGAGTAGCTCACAGTAATATTTCTCTTTCCTTGTTTGCAAGCAGCAGTACTATTTTTTGAATATTAATTTATAATAACATTTGTACATTTTTACTCTAAAGAGGACAGCATTAAAAGTCAACTCTTCTAACCTGTGATTAAGTAGTCAATAGTAGATTCTGCAAAAATTTGCCTGTGCCAAAAACAAGTAACAATTGTGTTATTACATAACAGTGGGAGACTACTGCTGATAAATAATCCATTATATAACCATGGGGTTTTATTAGGAAATAAAATGTAGTGTGTTTGATTGTTAATTTCAGCTAGATTGAGATTTCAGGTTGGCCTAACTGGGATCTGTGGGAAATCTCTGGCAGGAGGTGAATGACAGAGAATATAGTTCATTACCTTGGAATATCGTACTTTCAAATGTAAATGTTCAGAAATAATTAGTTGACTGTAGAGGATCTGGATTTTGAGTTCAATTCAGTAATAACTCACCATGAGACAGTTGAAACCACTGGAAAGAGCATGAAAGAGATGGAATTAGTTTGACAGCTGAAGATAATTTAGCCAGTGTACATTAGCTTGTAGAACACAGTTCTGCTTCTAAAAATTATATGATGCATTTCTTTCTAAGTAGGTATAGTTTTTCAACAGATTTTCTATTTACATTATTTGTTAAGTTGTATACATGGTCTCAGTGTTAACATCCATCATTCACAATCAGCAAGATAATTTTCCTGCACAGTGTTCTTCAGGGGGGGAAATAACTCCTAGCTAGCATTTGAACACTGGGGAGAAAATTCCCACTTGTTATTCTGTTACCGTCTTGCAGTGTTGCACTAAGTGTATTGAGCCCTAAGGCTGTGGGGTGTGCATCACTCCATGAATGCAGGTGACTCACTGCAGGCCTCTCCTCATGGAGAGGCTGCCTGAGCAGATGAGTGAGACCCTGGATAGATGGGTGAGGAGGAAGTGGGGAAGCCCATGGTCACCCTAACAGTCCTCTTCTCCTGGAGCTACCAGAGCTGAGCTTGGAGAGTTCTGGCATTCTCATGGCTGTCACTTTTCAGATAGTTTGGAATCTCATTGTGTCCCTAAATTCATATCACCTCAACCACCACAATTCATTAGATCTGACTGGCTGTGTGCTTGTATCTGTTGTTTAAAGTCCAAAATCACTTATGCATTTTGATTTATGTACAGACTACAAAAGTCATTGTCATTATTCTACACTCTAACAAAAGCCTCCAGCCTGCAACCTTTTTTCCAGCAACATTTTCCTGAGCAACATGGATCAACTGATGAAAATGAGTGAAAATTGTATTGCTTCAGAGAGTCCCTTTTCCAGCACAGACTCCTAGGCACTATTAGATATTAAAGAAATCCTTAAAATGTAAGAGTGGCATTGAGAATAATTTTCTCCCTCCCCTTCTGCAAATGATGAAGGAATCAGTGTATCGCCAAGATTAAATCAGAAGAGCACAAACGGTCAAACATTAAGGAAAATAATATGACTATACAGTATGTGTTGAAGATCACAACAAACTTGATATCAAAACCAAAACACTGAGAAAGTGTTGCATTTTGTCAGCAATTTCTCTTTTCTTTTTGAGGAAGGAAAATGACTTAAATTCTAAAGACTCAACTACTTCCTCAGAAAACCCCCACATTAATTTCCTAATAAAAACTGCTCTGTACTGGATGTTCTTCCTGCATGCTCCCAAAAAAACATGTAGCATGAGAAGATTCCCAGAACTTACTCAATCATTCTCTCAAACATGGTTTGCACTGGAAAGATTTTTTTTTTCAGCCTGACACTCTTCGTTTCCCAGTCACAACACTAATTGCCAGGAAAGGAGCTGTTCAGAGGAAAGACACACCTATTGGGACATTTTTTATTTCATCTGATGTAGATTATGAAGCTTTTGGGACAATCTGCCACAGTCAACAGTCAACAAATACAGCTGGGGAAAGAACACTCACACTTGGCATGACATTTTACTGTGCTCAATGTTTAGTCCTAGTTTACAGGAGTTGTAATACTATAATAAGCTTTAAAAATATATTCTGTTCCTAAAAAGAACTTTTCTGTTTACAATGGATGTTAAGATCAAGAATGAAAAATTCCAGGTGTCTCTGTAACTTTGGAGTGACAGGCAAGACTTGCCTGAATTTTGAAAATAAAAGCATACCGTTTATTGGAGAACAAGTTTATCAAATAAGTGTAATATTCTATTAGATAGTTTTCTTATCACTTAGGCATTTACATTGCATTTTGCATGCACAAGTGTCATTGTATAATCTGTGAACTAGATAACAGGTAAATACAATGATCAGATGATGTTAAAACAGTCCCTTTCATGTGACACTACTAAAATCTCTCAGTAGAGGGGAAAAATGAGTGGTGCCCCCGTCTCTTATTATTTTTACTAACATATTTTTTATTCTCTTTTTTACTTGAATAGCAGAGGTATTTGTTAACAGAACAGCAAAAAAGTGTTTAATATTCTATAGAAGTTAGATCTATGGGAGCAAAAGAAGCATTTATGTAGTGAAAATGTTTTAGAGTTTCGATTTTCTTCAGAAAATATAGGAGCTCATCCAGACAGATGTCTTGTACTGGGTTTTGTTTTGCTCATGGCTTGATATTGAGTCCAGTCAGGCCCTTCGCTCTTTCTTCTCATATCCAGTTGGGTTTTAAAGCCTTTTCCCACTCCACCCTCTCCTGCGCCCCCTTCTATTGAGGTTAATGCCACAGATTTTCAGTGGAAACAGTGCTATACTCACACACAAATAAAAGATGACTAGATTTCCCTGTTTCCTCTCATCTGTTTTGCTTCTGTGATTTAATTCTATGCTATCTAAACTGATAACAACTATCTTATTCTACTGTAGTTTTTTACTTTTAAAAACTCTCCCCTTTTATCCATTCGCATAGTTGCCTTTGATACTAAGATACTGTTGTGTTCTGCTGTCTTCAGAGACATGCTTCCCCTGTCACTCCCATTCCTACCTTACGTGTTTTTTCTAGACTGCCTTTGTGTTTCCTGTTGATGCTCAAGTCTTCCTTTTTACACTTTGAAAATGTGTCTCCATGAGGCTTTGCTTGCATCGCTCCGACCTATTGAAGGGGAAAA